GGGTGAGGGTGGGGCTTAGGAGAATATTCGGATGGCTTGCGTGGCTGTGATGTGGCAGACAGGACACTCCGGGTCCGTCCTCTCGCAGATGCGAACTGCACACTCCATGCAGAACAGGTTGTGGCCGCAGGGCACCAGGGCGGCAGTCACTTCGCTCTCGAAGCACACCATGCAATCCCGCCCGCCGCCGGGGCTCCGCAGGCCGCCGCCCCCAAGTTTGGAGAAGCCCTGGAGCGGCTCTCCCGGCGGGCGTCTCGGGAGTCCGGCCAGCTCGGAGGAGGTGGCCGGAGAGCGGTGCGCTCCCGGTGGCCCAGCGCGCGCCTTGGTGGCCGAGGAGGAGGAGAAGAGCACCGAGGTGGGCGTGGCGTTCTCCTGGCCCGCCCAGAGCGGGGGGCTGGTCTCGGCCACGCCGTAGTACACGTCCTGCTTGCCCACGCCGTAGCCCGGAAACAGGTACCCGCCGTAGCCAAAGTCCCCGCCCTGCTCGCCCAGGCGCGGGGCCTCGAAGCCGGAGTCCACCGCGCACTCGCCGATGCAGCCCAGGCTGTTCTGCCGGAAGGTGGACAGCGGCTTGCAGCCGGGCGGGTGCACCCGCCAGGCCTCCGAGTAGCGGCTGTCCAGCGCGGGGTCGGGGCTGCCCGCCAGGAAGTCGTTCTCGTTGTTGTACTCGAGGATCTTGCCCGTGCGCACGGCGATGTGCGTCTCGATCTCTTCGCGCGCGCGCTCCACGTTGCCCGGGGCGCCCGTGATCTCGAACACCGGGTCGCGGTCGCGGCTTGGCGTGATAATGTACGTGTTGGTCTGCTGCTGGATGCGCTTGATGGTCGCCCCCTTGGGGCCCACCACCAGCCCCACCACGCGGTAGGGCACCCGCACGCGAATGGTCACCTGGCCCGGCAGGGCAGGCGCCACGCCGAAGGCGGCGCCCGACTTGTTGCGCGACGCGCGGATCATGGAGAAGTGCTCGGCGGCGGAGATGATTTCCCGTCGCGCTGTGGCCACGTCCTCCCGCCGCCCGGTCACCATGAAGACTGGCTCCTCGCCCCGCACCGGGGTCTTGATGTAGGTGTTGGTCTTGGCCCTCAGAGCCTTAATCTTGCATCCTGGGACAGGTAGGGAAGCGGGGAGAAAAGAGACTCACCAGGCGGGAAGGTGCTGCGGGGACCAATAAGCTCCTGATCCTTATTCAGATACCCCCGCCAGCCAGAGCAGGAACCTCTCCGTGCCCTCTGCACCCCGCCCCCACACGCCCAGGCGCGAGCAATCCACTCATCGTATCGCGGATCTACCGAGCGTGTCTGTCACAGATTTCAAACCGTACCAACTTTCCCTCGAATTCCATTCCGGACCCTCCAAGTTCATTCAGTCCTTGAAACGCGGAAATAATCGCCGAACCTCCCAGACGAGCTGCCAACCTCCAAGGCGCGCGCACGGGTTCCTCCCCAAACACGTGCGGTTCCAAACGTCCAAATCGCTCCACCTCCCCCGCATCTGTCACTGACCCCGATCTTTCCACGGACCCCAATGCACTGAATAACCCAACAATCTACTCCTCACTTGACCTCCATTCACCGAAATTGTCCTCCAACCTACTTAGGGCCCACGACCCCCATCGGCTCTAGGACCCCCCACGCCTTCCGTCCACTGAGGTTCACAGCAACTTCGCAGCAGCAGTGGAGTGTGGGAGATTGCGAAGGGGCTGAGGATCAGTTTCAAGAGGGACAAGAGGAGTATGAAGATAATGACGTGTGAGGGACAGCACCCGGCCCATGGACACTCCTGCCGCCCTGGCCCCTGGGGGCAGGGGAGCCGAGAGGGGCTGGGGGGCGAGCTGGGTGAGGGAAGAGGTTTTCTGGACCCATGCTCCCCTTTGCAGTAGGAGTGGGTTAAGGCTGGAGGTTGGGGAGAGGCAGGGAGAGATAGAAGCCGAGACAAAGAGACAAAGAAAGAGGGAGAAGGGGAAAGAGAGAGGGAGGGGGCGGGCCGCCCCGGCTCTGAAGGCTGTAGACCTCGGGCCGCCTGGACCAGCCTCTCTCGACTCCCACATTCCCTGCCCCTGCCCCGGGCTTCACACGGAGACTCACCCGCTTTCTCGAGGCACACGTGCCACATGCGTGTGAGTTTGCACACACGGGCCCGAGAGCCATGATGCACCGTGTGCCTTTCTCTAAACAATACTCGCAGGGCACTTTCGTGCACCCTACGCTCACACGGATACCCTTCGCGACCTTCCCTCCTCCCGCTCCCCCCCCAGCCCCCCAGCACGCACACAGCACCCTCCCGCTCGCCAGGAAACTCCCACCCAGCCCACTGGCAAAGGGACTCGCTCACCCCCCCATCCCCTTTTACGCTCACACGGATACCCTTCGCGACCTTCCCTCCTCCCGCTCCCCCCCAGCCCCCCAGCACGCAGACAGCACCCTCCCGCTCGCCAGGAAACTCCCACCCAGCCCACTGGCAAAGGGACTCGCTCACCCCCCCATCCCCTTTCTCACTGCCCATCCTTCCAAAACCAAGCCCGCGGTCCTAGATTTCTGCCTCTGCCCCAATCCTCCAACCACAGGCCTGAGGCGAGCTCATTTTTTTTTCTCCTTCCTCCACTCCAGATGGCTTCTTCTCTAATCCTGGCGGATGGGCGGGCGGGCCGGTACGGTGGGCTGGGGGCAGCTCTCCTCACCTTTGAGACCTCAGGAAGGGGCACGTGCCCCTCCCTTTTTTGTCCGCAGACCTCTTGGCAGGTGAGAAGTCCTACCTGTTGTCACGCTCACACCCTTGCCGCTGTACCGCCAGTGAATGCCTGTCTGTCTGTGAGGCCTGAAGCGGCGAGGAACCGCGGGGTCTATCCTCCCACGCCTTCTATTCCCGTGGCATCTCCCAGGCGCCCGGCTTCTGGCTGAGTTTGGGGCCCGCAAACTTAAGTGAGGGCCAGGTGCCCTTGGGGGTTGGCTTGGGGTGAGGACAGGCCAGGGCCGCGTTACCGGCAGTGGGCCTCGCCCTGGGTTTCGCGTGCCCGAAGAAGCATCTCTTGCAGGGCAGACCCACTGGGCTTCACCTTCCTAGAGGTCACACAGAGGAGCAGGACACTGCAGCAGAAGCGAGGTCAGACAAGAGGGAGGACTTCCGGATGCCTGAGGACTGAGGGGGAGCTTGTCTCCTCCGAGCGGGGGAACCCCCCTACTTCTACGAGACAGGCCCATCTGATGCGGAGGCAGGATGGGAAGGAATGAGTCCATGAAATTCCGGGGCCTCCGAAGACCAACCCCCACACACGGGAAAAGGCCTCAGTGTCCCCACCCAACCCCAGGGCTCTGGGTCCCTAGTTCCTGGTGACAAGAGGAAATCTAACTTTTTAAATCAGACATCTCAAGAGATGGAGTGCCCCGGGGGAACGGGGGGCCGCTGAGCAGGCCAGCGGCGCCTTCCCCTCCTCCATTCTGGATGTCCCTGCAAAATCCCCCCAACCCGCAGCACTCCGGGGGGGATGAGGTGGGATAAGGGGCAGGGCCCCCCGGCTTCCCTCTCCCTTGCCGGGCTGGCCTCCCCCCTCACTCCCGGCCGGGAACGCAGCTCCTATTGTTCCCCACGGTGGGACAGCTCCTCCTCTGCTCCTCCCCCACCCCAACTCCCCAGCCCAGCCCCCTGGCCATTTCCAAATCCCGCCCCCCACTCCCCTTTGGGAAACTGGGAGAGGGAAGGGTCCCCACGATCCCGTCTGCTCAGTCTGGACCCTCACCAACACTCCCACCCCCATTTGCCCAGGGATGCTGGACAGAGGGTGTGGTATCAGACAGACTACGCTGGATTAATTCTACACCCCTCCCCAAACGCGCCCAGACACACACACGCCTTGCACCAAATCTCCAGGTGAAGGTCTGTCCCCCCCCCCAGCATGCCCCTCCCATCCTGTCCTACTCTCTCACAGCCAGAGAACCCGCTCCAGGCCTCCGGCCCCTGGCCGCGGCCAGCCCAGAACAAAAGCCTGAGACGGAAGAGGAGAGGTCCCCCCAGGACGTGGCACTTCGTTGGGGGCACCCCTCTCAAAACCCCACAGACCGTGCAACTTCGGTGTGTGGGTGACCGCAGGATTGCCTCCTCCCCGGGCCCCTCCCCACCTCTCCCCCAGGCTGGGACCCTCCCATGAGCCACACCCCCTCCCATTCCTACACAGCCCAACAAAGAGACAGATACTCAGTCTGGCTCCCTGGCCAGGTCTCCCCCAAAGTCTGCAACTCCAGGCGGCTGGGGGTCCCAGGGGTACCCGCTCCCCAACCCACTAGCAGATGCCGCCCGAAGTAGGGGCTTCCGAGAAACTCTTTGCCCATTCCGCCAGTTTTTCTGGCTTCCAGCGGACACCCCCTCAGGACAGCCTCCCTGGATTGGGAGACGGTCCCCTCCCTTTTCCCTCTCTCTGAGAGAGGATATTTCTTTGTCTAAGGGCAGGGCCCTGGGGGAGGAAAGGTCTGGAGAACAGTCCCGACCGGGGGTAGCGGGGAACTTTGTGGCACTTGGAAATCAGGGTAGGGGGCGGGTCCCCCTTTGTGGGGAAGGGACACAGCCAGAGGCGGACAAGGAGAGAGGAAATGAACTTTCCGCGCCAGAGATGGGGTGCCCCCGATCCAGTCCCCATTCGCGATCTGGGCGCACGCTTACCTTGCCTGCCCACGATCTCGGCCACGTGCTCGGAGGTGGGCACGGGTACACACTCGGTGGTGTTGCTGCTGCCCTTCAGACGCAGCTCGGCCTCTTTGTAGAGAGCGCAGAGCTTGGCGTCGCTGGCCCCTTTGGGGGCGGTGGGGGGCTGGGGCGTCTGCGCCGCGGGGGCCTTTTTCCACCTCCACCTCCCCCGTCCTCGCCCGCCGTGGGGGCGGGGGGCTCCCCCAAACCCAGGAGGCAGAGTTGATCGAGAGCCAGCTGAAGGGCGCGCTCGTCTTCCAGCAGCCCTCGGTCCTTTGCGCTTCCCCCGAAACATCCTAGCTCTCCAAAGCCCCCATTTCTTTCCATTATTCCAGATACCACTAGACTAGGCATGGCGAAACAAAAGCTGGGGGAGAGAGAGAGAGGGAGAGAGAGAGAGGTGGTGGAAGGGAAAAGAGAGAGGAGGGGAGGGGAGAGGAGAGGAGGGGGTGTGTGGGGAGGGGGGAACAAAGAACTGGGGAGGGGGGAAGAAAGCGAGATAGAAAGATAGACCCTCCCCCTAAGCCCCCCTCCCCAAACACCCTGTAACCCGACTCCCCTCGCCCCAGCCCCCGGGGTGGGGGTGGGGGGAAAGAGAAGCAAAACCGAGAAAGCAGATCTCCTCTCCTCTCCGGGGGTGACGGGGGGCGGGGGGCTGCGGGATCTCTGCCCCCACCCCTCCCGCCTCGGACCCGGGAGTCTCGAGACCCCGCCGTCCAGACGCACCCCTTAGGCTCCCGCACGGAGCCCCAGTCCAGGAGCGGCGCTCAGTGGCCCCCAATAGAGCCCAGCCCCTTCCAGCGCTCAAACTCTTTTGTTTTAAATGAACTGGATGGAGCAGCATGGAACTGACGGGAGGGGGGCGCGCCGGGGGCGCCCGGGGCATGCCGGGAGTTGTAGTTTCCCGCGCGCGGGGGCGCGGGGACGAATTCCTTGACCCGAGGAGCGTAGGGATGCGCCTTCGGTCTCCACCCGCGGCTCGGAGGCAAAGCTGGGGGTGGGATGAAAGTCGAGGTCCCTAATTTTTCCTAGGGGCGGGCGCGGGGAGAGGACTCGGCGCACAGAAGCGGAACGGTGGAGAAAAGGCGGAGGGAGCGCGCCCCCCTCCCCAGACGGGCGCCCTCGCCTTCCCGGCCGGTCTCGGGTCCCCCTTTCTTATGGTAATGAGAGGGGACGCGAGGGCGGGAGCGCCCCGGCTGG